CATCCTCATCTCATTTTCATCCTCATCCTCATCCTCATCCAAATGACCTGTCTCAATTTATTTAATTAGTCCAACACCATCAATCACTTCTTCCATTATGTTATCAACAACCTCTTCTTTGTGTTATTCTAACCATTCCTGCATGTTACTATTACCAAAATGGTCTACATACATAAGGAGTATAACACCACATTCATAAGCTATTGATATAAAATCGGAATAAGCCATCTCATTGGAAATTAAGGTCAAACATTTGTGAAAAGGAATATCTGGTTCGTAGTAATAGAGCTTCTCACACTTTTCTCCAGTGAACCTTTCGATAAACTCATAACACCCGTTCTTGTCCATGTCTGCGAAATCGATGTCCGAAAACCTCTGCGTAATCCCCCCAGTGTAGCGTATGGGGTATTTTGCGAAGATTCCTTGGAAATACACATCGACTTGGATGGATACGGGATCCATGTTTGAGGTTTGAGGAGACGAAAGAAAGTAATGGTTTATCGAAAGAGATGGAAGTGGTGAACAGTAGACGGGAAAAGATCTCGTTTAAGTAAAGCTATTAATAAATGACATGGCATACACAGTCAGCAAGGCAATGGGTTTAAGTATCACAGGTGGCATAAATATGACCGACTGGCCCCTTCACAATTGACATAATGACGTAATTGACCCGACAAAATAAAGTTCTTTCCCTCATAAAGCCACTAAAAAAGTTAAGTGACTAAAAGGGTAAACCCTAGAAAGTTCATAGGCCGTATGTATCGTTTTCCCTTTCATTATATTAGGGGGTGGAGTGGTTGCTAGCAGAGAAGGTCTTTGACAACAAAAGTCAGCGGCACCAAAAAGTCAACATCGACAGTTGGTGGGGCTGGGGGCAAGACCGACATAGGAGGGATTGTTTTATATGTAATATGTGTTGCTTTCCTTCATCCGATTTTAACAAACAAACAACATGGATTGGGCATTTGGGATTTTTTTTTCATTTTATTGATTTGAGAATAAATATAAGCTTAAATTTTTGGACTATCAACACACATTTTGGGCTGCCTTAAACTTTAGTTTGAGCGATTTTGTGTTTGAATTTATAATTTAGAAGTAGCCCAATTATTTTAAGGGTAGCCCATAATTTTTTCAGGGTCATTATAACTAAAAAAAATTCAAAAAAATATTTACTAATAGACGAAATTTGAGGGTTAAAAATAGTTTTCAAACACTATTTCCAATTCCAGAAGCCACCAGAGCAAACTTCATGCTTAACAAGGCCCCACTCATAAGTTTGATAAGATGCTCCCTCTAACCCTGGTCACCATCACCCTCCCACTTACAATAGCATATTATAAAGTAAACGTCACAAAAACTATAAATGCTAAATTTTTTATGGCCCAAGCGTCGTCCCCATGCAACATTATCCTTGGAAAAACAAACTATAAAATCATAAAGTGATAGCATCCACCATGCATGGATCAGTCAAATTCACCACATCCAAAAGATCATGCATTATCATTGGTTGTCCTCTCTGTTGGGAATTGAAGATTATAAAACTAATCATAGAAACAAAAGCAAAAATAAATGTTTTGAAGTTTAATCCCCAAGAACCATGGATCCATTTAGAACAAACTAGAGCAACAATAATTCAATTAACATATGTTGGAGATCAGTCACCAAAGAATGTAACTTCTATAGTTGATCCACACATATAATAAATGAACAATTACTAAATTGTCCAACAAGATTAACAACAAGATATGTTCTTTTCATTCCATTAAGTTGAGACACACACACACACACACACAAGAGACATCCCCAAATTTACGGTTATTTTAAAACCTTTTATTTATGCTTATTTTAAAACAAAATATTTGTAACATCCCAAATTCAGGAATATAAGTTCGGGGTGCTATGTGTAAATAAAGGAGTAGACTCGACGAGTAGGTATCTTAACTCGTCAAGTCGGAGCGGGTTTTGGCCACGTGTTAAGTGACCAACTCGCCGAGTCGGCGGCGGGACTCGACGAGTCGGTGCTGGGAAGAGAAAACCCTAATTTTAGGGTTTGCACCATATTTAAAGGACCTTATATCCTCACCCCAGCCTCTTTGTTACCCCTTGAGAGTCAGTAAACCCTAAATCATGTAAACCTCCATTGTTGAGTGATTGGAAGCTTTGGAAGAGGATTATAGTGAAGGAAACTTGTAGATCAAGAGGCTAGCATCAAGGAGTTTGTGTAGATCCAGAATCTACTTCATCTTGGGCACATTTCTGAGGTAGCAAGTCGTTACTTTGAGTTGTTCCCTTTTAGATCTATTCTTGGATGATGATTTGGGGATATTTAGCATGTTTGGGATCCATTTCGGGTTTTGGGACTAGATCTGGGGTTGCAACTTCAGATCTAGACTTATCTTGGTCCATGGAGGCATAAAGTATCAGCCCTTTAGCTTGTTTGTGAGCATTCTTGTCTTGAACCTTCTCTCTAGCTTGTATTGAGCCAAAATCACCTTGCATGCACGTAAAGTTGGAAACTTTACGTGTAAAACTAGCCTGAGGAGTCCAGATCTATGAGTTGGAAGCAGTGGGATAGACTGAAATCGTCTGAATGAGGATGACTTAAGTGAACTCGACGAGTCTGTTCTTGGACTCGACGAGTCGGGTCGCAAACCCTAACCCATCTGGTTATAATGCGGATCAGTGATTTGAGTGGACTTAGTGAGTTAGACAGGCTAGGACTCGGATTGAAGGGCTCGGCGAGTCATGGGGTGACTCGGCGAGTCGAGTTGCGAATTGTGGGGTTTCTGAGTTCATGAACTCGGCGAGTCACTAGGTTGACTCGGCGAGTAGGGTCAACCAGGGAGGTTGACTTTGACCAGGACTTTGACTTTGACCAAGAGTTTACCAGTTTGATTTCCAAGGGTATTCTGGTAAATTGGGCACTTATAGATATGGTTTCATCAAGTGTTAGGTGGTGGAGTTCGTGGCCGTGAGCAGAGGATTCGATATTATCTCTTCATTTCAGCATTTCAAGGTAAGTTATCATCACTGTACCCAAGGGTCTAAGGCACCAAGGTCGTCCCTTTGATTTGTTATTTGAGATAGTTACTATTGCGATATGTTAGCTCGACATCCTGGTAGATAGGATGGTTATATGTTTGTATGATCGGTTAGATCTGTATCCTGTGAGAGCGGATGTATTTATGCTTAGTGACCTATAGTGGTCTGACTGCCTGTATGCTGGTAGGAGATTACATGTTATATGTGCACATGATTGAGCAGTAGTGGAGGGTATCCCATCCCGAGGATGATAGGGCCCTAGTATGTTGTCTGGTAGACTGTTATATGATTATCTGATATAGGTGCACATGTTTGATTGGTTATGTGGGTAATCCAACCCGATGGTTATGGGCCGCGAGTATCCCATCCCGAGGATGATTGGACTCATAGTATGTGGGCAATCCAACCCGATGGTTGTGGGCCAAGAGTATTCCATCCCGAGGATGATTGGACTCATAGTAGGTTGGCATTCCAACCCGATGGTTGAGGGCCTGGGGTATCCCATCCTGATGGATGATTGGACCCATAGTAGTTGTTGTATGTGTAGGTGTGTGGGCATTCCAACCCGATGGTTGTGGGCCGAGAGTATTCCATCCCGAGGATGATTGGACTCGTAGTATGTTGGCATTCCAACCCTATGGTTGAGGGCCAGGGGTATTCCAACCCGATGGTTGAGGGCCAGGGGTATTCCAACCCGATGGTTGACTGGACCCATAGTGTGCTGTTTGTTACTGTATGTGTATGGTTATGTGTGTATGGGTATTTTGGGGGTAACTCACTAAGCCTTCGAGCTTACATTTATCGATTATTGTTTCAGGTACATCAGGAGATCGTGGCAAGGCAAATGCGTGATCGTACCGCTCCTCACTTTTTATGATTTTGTTTCTGGGATACTCTGATAATAAACCATTTGGAAACCTTTTTGTAATAACTAATGGAACTTGGGTTGTTTTTGAAAGTTTAAATTGGTTTGAAATTTATGGGTGTTACAATATTTCTTTTGTTGCAGGATTGTTCCCAAAATATTATTTCAATGTGAGATAATATTAACATTAAACATTTCCGAAGAAACATTCGATATTGATATATTTTCAAAACTTGGGATGTCATAATTGATACAAAACATAAGCATAAACATAGACCTTACATCATCTTCTATTCTATACTCTATATATCTTTAAATCTCTCATTAAGTCCGAACATCAATATCTTTGTACTGCTTCCTGTGATACAAAGAAACTGAGTGGGTAAGGTTGGAAAACCTGGTGAGTACATAGGGATTTAAATCCCACAATGTTATAATATATATATTTCAATAATTTTGTAAAACCAGTTATTACCAAACAATATAGAACCGATTTGGATATCTGTATTCCCTCATACCTAATCCTACCCGCTTCCAATCGATCCTCACAGATCCTAGTCTATGATTATCAAGAGGGATTATCCTATCTGATGAGTTGTTTAAAAATATGTAGACATACCATTACATTTGTTTGATCAGGACCTACCATTTTTGGTTATCTAAGAATATGCAGACATATGTCATTACAGTTGTCTGATCGGGACCCACCATATATGGTCATCCCAAGGGGAATACTATATCGTATTTCCATATGGAGCTACCATACATCAACACCTGAAAGTGTCAAGGGACAAAATTCTACTTTCCGTTCCTAAATTACACACATACGTCCTGAATGAGACTATCCGATATCAAACTTAATTGAATTAGTCTTATATTATTACCGCACATAGCTACCAAACCTCTAATACCAACTCTGTCTAGATAACGCTATCATATCTTAATGTATATATATTTAGCATAGAGTATTTTAAGTATTAATATACTTTTGTCTATTTTCCTGATGATATTTCTATTATTGTTATCATGCGAAAATAGACATATACATTTTTATCATATATAGAACCATATCTGGTTCGCATATTGTTGTGATATGTATCCGAGACTTAACGCCGTTACTGGATGCCTTGTCCATGTTAAGCCTGAGAATCACAGTAAAGAAAGAATAGACGTCAGTCGTCGTACAAATAAAGGCCATTTTTGTGATTTTTTGCATTGAAGTAATATATATATTTTTTATAAATTAATAGAATTTTGTCATTATTTCTTGTCTTTTAGGACCTCCATTTTTTTCTCATTCCGAGCCCGTAATATGTTTGGTCTTGTCATGTATGGAATTATCGTAACAAATTAAACCATGATTGCACAATTCCTATCAAACAATATATTACTGTATAAATTTCTTAAAATTAGACATTAACCCGATACCTACAATTAGGATCATATGACTAGACCTCACAATCCATGTCTGCGTGTCATGTATATGAGTCAGCAGTGATGAGTTTAGAATAGAAAATCACGTGGTTCACTAACCAAGTTCAATCGAGTTGGTTCAAGAGGAAATCAGATTCAACCAAATAAATAACCAGTTCAACATATATAAAAACCTGTGATGAGAAAATCAAGTCCAAATCGATTATTCCTTAATTTTTTTTTACTAAAACCGACTTAAACTTGGAGTAAATCCGGTTTGAACCATGCCTCAACAATCTTCCTGGTATGGAAGTGTACAAGAGGAAACATCTATTTATAATGAAAAACTCAATCATTTTTTTATTGCAGTCGATGTGAGACTCTTTCATGTAACAAAGTATGATATTCATTCTATTGTCTATAATTATACATTTTTTCCTTCATCTTTTTTGTCAAACACTATAAGGTAAATCAATTTATATTTTGTAAGGTAGGTTATAATATTTTTGGTATATAATTTATAGTAAGACTTAAAAATCTAGGTGGGTCAAAGGACACACCTTCGCATATAGTAAAATCGTCTCTGCTAATCAGACATGAATTTACACGCACAAATTTGTAAAACACGAATAAGACATGAATTGTAAAACGTGTGTTGTGTATCAAATACGACCACGACACATAATTAATTCGTATCAAACGTGACACGACACGAATATACACGTTTCAGCCAATGTTATACAAAAACACATATTTACATCTTTCTAATACCATTTTTAAGTTAGAAAAACTTGCAAGTTAGTCCTTAAACTTTCAGGAAGTGTAAACTTTAATCCCTACACTATATAACTATATGTGTTCATACGTGTTTGTGTGTCATATATCACATAAATTTAATCTGTTGTGTTGACATGATACACGAATTTCTAAAACCCATATAAGGAAAACCCATGTCATGTTCGTGTTGTGCCAATCGTGTCATGAATTAAATTTTCAGTTCTATATATGAGAATTGACAAATATTGTATGAAAGTATAAATGTTCGTCGTATGATTGAAAAAACAATGATTCCGATGAGAAGCAAAACTTTCATAAAATTAAGAGATTTATTTATGGACAAAAATTGTCGTTGAAATCCAACGCTTCAAAATCATTTATACGTTGACACAATATTTCTTGTTCCCATTTGAATCCAATTCTTGATACCTAAATATGCATTTAAAGTTTTGGGAAATCTCCAATAAAGTCCTAAAATTTTGGCTCGGTTTACGTTTTAGTCCTAAAATAATTTTTGTTTACGAAAAAGTTCTAAAAACCGGCAAAAGTATGCATTTTGACCCTTTTTGACCGGTTGGAACCGGCAACAAATTAATTTGGGACTATTTCATAAACTGACCGAAAATATTGGGACTATTTCACAAAATGACCCAAAATATTGGGACTTTTCTGCAAAAAAAAATATTATGACTTTTCTGCAAACAAAAACCTTATTATTATTATTATTATTATTATATTAAAAATATAAACAAGTATACTAATTTTTAAATTCTTTATTATTAATATTTTTAATAATACATATAAATACACTTAAATAAAAAAATATTAAAGAAATTATTTAAAGGTGAAGGTGGTGGTGATGGTAATGCTTTAAGCATTGAAATCATGAATATCTACTTGTATATCCTCACTTTGTATATATCATTTCACATTTCTTATTATTATTTTCAATTCAGAATGTTAACACTTTACAATTTAAGAGAAGTTGCCTATTAATAGAAAGTAATATGACTTGTTTTGCTTTATCACACTATAAAAACAATAATAACAAATGTGAAATGCTCATATACAAAGTTAGAATATACAAACAGACGTTCATGATTTCAATGCTTAAAGCATTATCATCCGCTCCACCTTCACTCTTAAAAAATATCTTTAATATTTTTTTTAATTTAAATGTATTTATGTGTATAATTAACAATATTAATAATAACAAATTTAAAAAATAGTATACTTATTTATATTTTTAATACAATAATAATAATAATAATAATAATAATAATAATAATAATAATAATAATAATAATAATAATATTTTTGTTTGCAAAAAAGCCCTAATATTTTTTGTTTTTGCAGAAAAGTCTCAATATTTTGGGCCAGTTTATGAAATAGTCCCAAATTAATTTGTTATCGGTTCCAACCAGTCAAAAAAGGTCAAAATGCAAACTTTTGCCGGTTTTTAGGACTTTTTCGTAAACAAAAATTAGTTTAGGACTAAAACATAAACCGGGCCAAAATTTTAGGACTTTATTGGAGATTTCCCTAAAGTTTTAAACCGACTATCTAACGGTTAAACTGTTAAGGGTTAGTTTGGTGTTTTTTTCATAATGATGTGGCAGAAATGATAATTTAGAGCAATACTGGGAAAAAGTTGGCAATCCGAGACATAGGCAATTTCGTCCTCCGGCTGCTTCGTAAAGCAACGTTAAGGTTTTTATTTGTCATAGAACGCCACGCCACAAATTACCAGTGAAGAGAGGAGAGGGATCACTGATTTCTCATTTCCCACTCTCATTCCATTTGATCTTTCGACTTTGACAGCACCGGTGCCGCCGATTTCGGCAGCTTCCGTCGACGAGGGAGACTCTATCATTGACCACCGCATTCACAGTCGCCGCCGCCGTCTATCGGTCACCATTGAAAATGTATGTTCATTCACAGTCTTTTCACTAGTATTATTATCTCAAATTACCCGATGTAAAATAGATCAGATGATATTTGAATTTATCCGAAATGCTGATCTTTATTTACTGTTAGATCTCTTGATTCAAGCCTCACTTTTGTTGATTTCACCACCACGATTCAGCTGTAGGAGGATCCTATGACAATTTATAGTCCTCTGTAGCTTCCCTTTGATTTCTATATTCTCTTTCACTTTTTCAGTGAGTTAGATTGTTGCTATCTCTCTTCCTTTTCGTTCTTTTAGTAGACAAAGTGGGTAATTCACCCTTTCTCTCAAAAGGGGGAACAATCGACTGTCAAAAGAGTTACATGGGACATCTAACACACTTGTAATGAGTCTTCTACAAGCTTGTTGCGTAATCACTCTGTTTCATACACTAATCACCTTCCTACATTACTTTCAGACATGAAAGGGGGTGTTTTCCTTGTGTAAGAGAAAACCTACATGATCATATTTTCTGTCAAAAAAAAAACTTTTTAGCAGGATTTGGAATGCATCGGTGCAAGTCACCTTGAAACATTACCAAAATCCAACCCATTTACAACTTTTCGAATGCTAATTTGAGTACGCAAGTCCCTTTCTGACGTTAACTGGAAATTGAGTTGTCTTGTTTCATACGACATTGCTTGACATGTGTTTGAGCTATGCCACAGTTTTAACCAGACGAGATACTTTCTTTGTGTCTTTCAGATGTGGGCATGATGGGGATAAAGTTGATGATTGGAAGAAAAACATCTTTCCTGTTTAATGCTTTGGTTTCACAATCACAAGTTGTAATTAGAATCAGAAACATTATAGTATCACCATACTTGTGATGCCTAAATGAAGACTAGTAGAGCATGGCGTGTAGGCATAAAAGACTTTCTAATGATGTCTGGTATTCGACAAAGACCACATCTTAAAGGGCCAAATTGGGTTATTATATTAGTTTGTTTAGTAAGCATTTCTTTAATTGGGGTCTATCTATACCCACCTAGAAACTCTGCAGCCTGCTATATCTTTTTCTCCAGTAGTTGTTCAGAGCCTGAAAACACTCCAGCAGTTCCTTCTAGAGAATTAACCGATGAAGAGAATGCAGCCCATGTAGTGATCACAGAAATCTTGAAGTCAACTCCTGTTAACTCCAACAACCCTAAAGTTGCTTTCATGTTCTTGACCCCTGGTCGATTACCCTTTGAAATGCTTTGGGACAAGTTTTTTCAAGTGAGCTTCATCTTTGTTTCTGTGAATTTTCATTAAAAAAAAGAACTTTATTTCATAAAGACTTTTTCTTTAAATATTTTGCAGGGGCATGATGGAAGATTCACTGTTTATGTGCATGCCTCAAGAGAACAAGCGGTTCATACTAGTCCACATTTCATTGGTCGGAATATACGAAGTGACAAGGTCTCTATCTACTCCTTACAGTTTTTTTTTTAAATATTTACACAAATAAGAAAAAAGTTATGATTTTGAGCTTATATAAAATGATCTTGTTTTGTGATTGGTAGGTTGACTGGGGTAAAATATCCATGGTTGATGCAGAGAGGAGATTATTAATGAATGCACTTCAAGATCCAGATAATCAACAATTTGTTTTGTTATCTGACAGGTAAAAATACATAATTTGATGTATTTCACTTTTGGTGAGATATAACACGTAAGACACATTTTTTTTTATCTTTTGTTGCAGCTGTGTACCTTTGCATCACTTTGATTTTGTGTACAACTACCTAATCTTCACAAATGTTAGCTTCATTGACTGGTGAGATGAATCATACTTTTGTAAAAGACATGTTATATATTTTCTTTTCCTGTTTTATTTCTTTTGTGGAAAACTTTAATATGCACTTTATGCTTCTAACTCTCTCTCTTCCTGTATTTATCTATTTCCTGGTGTTTGTAGTTATGATGATCCAGGTCCACATGGAGGTGGTAGATATTCAGAGCATATGTTACCCGAAGTTGAATATAAGGATTTTCGTAAGGGTTCACAGGTATCTTTCAAAACTCTTTTGATTTGACACTTGTTTGTAGTTTCACTATCTTAGTATTTTACCAATTTAGCCCCTTAAGTATTTTTTGCAGTCATTAAAATCATCTTACTTTTGTACTTCCATTCTTTGTTCTCATACATTATCTTTCTTGTGATTGTGTTTTAGTGTAGTGTGAGTTATAATTGAAAAAAAAATGATTTTTTTTTTTAAATTTACATCTGCAGTGGTTCACTATGACCCGGAGGCATGCTTTGTTAATTATGGCAGATAGTCTTTATTACAAGAAATTTCGGCTTTACTGCAGAGTAAGTACATTCTTTTTAATGAATGAACAGCTAGAAAAATAGAAATATGCAATATAAATTACAAAGTAATATATAAATATATCTCACACATTCTATATTGGCATGTCACATATCATGAACACTTCCTTTTTATCAGTTTCCTATCCAAAATTTTATAATTTCCCATCAATATTCAGGACAAGATATTTATGAATTATGCCAATGGTTTTGCTCCACAAGTTTTCTCACTTGTCATATTAAGGTGTATTTTAGGTATTTGACAATTGGGTTAATTTTGTGAAAAACAATCCAACTATGTGAGATGTACACTTTAGTCCCTCACACAAAAAAAATTCACTGTTCAAGTCCCTCAACTTTAGTTTCAGTTCTTACAAAATGTTGACTAGTCACAAGAAATGCTAGGCTGAGGTGTAAAGGGTTAAAGTTGTAAAAAAAAACAACTATCTAAAATATGCATTTTAGCCCCTCACAAATTTTTTTTTACTGTTAAAGTCCCTTAGTTTTGCTTTTCAGTTTAGTGTCTGTTTTGATTTTAACAGCCAGGTATGGAGGGGAAGAATTGCTATGCTGATGAACATTACTTTCCAACACTTCTCCATGTTAGTACTTACAACTCTTCTGATTTATTATGATTATTATTATTATTAATATTTTTTTGGTGGCTAACATGATTCTCCATTGTTTTTCTCAGATGGTTGATCCTAATGGAATTGCAAATTGGTCTGTAACATATGTAGATTGGTCTGAAAGAAAATGGCATCCAAGATCATATAAACCTCCAGATATTACTTCCAAGCTTCTTAGAAACATTACAGTAAATCTCCTTCATTTTCATTTTCTCATAAAAGATTGTGATTCCTTCGTATTCCAATTCCTTTGACAGATTCCATTCCTTTGATAGATTCCGTTACACTTTCAAACACATCTTAGGGTTCTCATTAGTATAGCCAATTAACAACACTATTTTGTTACTGCAGGGTTATGAAGTAAGTCTACATTTCACAAGTGATGAAAAGGTAAGTAAGACTTTATTACTTTTTCATATTGACTTTTTTTTTTGGATCAAACAAATAAAAGAAAGTATGTTGCTATTTCTTGCATTTTGCAGAAGACCGTGTTAAAAACACCATGCATATGGAACGGAATGCAGCGGCCTTGCTTCCTATTTGCAAGGAAGTTCTATCCTGAAACTTTGGATAATTTGATGCAACTTTTCTCAAATTCTACTGCATTCTGAAAATTATTATCATTTATGGATCGATTCACAACAGAATTTGATCCTTTTTCTTCCCATATACAAACTTATGATGATGCCTAATTCTGCATATGTTGCTGCAGAATTGATTAAGTTTTTATGGATTTCATTTTTGAATTGTTTTAGATTGTATAAGTTTCTACCGTTTTTTGATGACACTTATTTTTCAGTGCTTTTGGCAATGGTTTTGTGGTTGTATTGTGTTGTCAATGGCAGGGGAATTGTTTTAGGTTGTATTGTGTTGTCAATGGCTTTGTGGTTGTATTGTGTTGTCAATGGCAGGGGAATTGTTTATGTTCTTTATGGTTTATAAGATTTATATATTGTGTGCATTAAGTGAATTGTTTTATCAACTGTTTGGATGTTAAATGGATGGGTTGATTTGGATTGTATTTTATGCTTAAAAGGGTTATCGGTAAAGCTATTAGAAAGAGGTAATTGAACTACATTAAATCTTTTAGATTGATTTATTTGAGATGGTAATATACTGGAAAAATGTCATAATAACTTATCAGAAAACCCACCACCATTACCACTACCCACTACCATCGCCGCCATTGCCACCAACCAACACCACCGCCGTCGCCACCACTCGTCATCGCCCCCACCACCACTACCAACGCTGCCACTACCACATCTGCTATCACCCACCACTGTTACCAATGCCGCCACCACCACCACTAACAACGCCACCGCCACCACCAACACCGCCACTTCCACCGCCGTCATCATCGCCGCCGCTGCCAATTCCACTACCACAACCACCGTTGCTACCACCATCACTACCACCTACCACTGTCCCCGCTACCACCGCCCCCACCACCATTGCCACTGCCGTTGACATTTTACTGTTTGTTATGATTTATATAATATATCTTTATATATAAGTTAGAACAAAAGGTAAAATTAAGCAAAACACAAAAAGGTAATTCTGTCATTTTATATGGATTCCAATTCCATTTCTTGCCAACAAACAAGATATGGAATTGGATTCAAATTGCAGATTCATTTTCCAATTCCAATTGTAATCCCTTCAAAAACATTCTACAAACCAAACAATACCTAAATATTAATTCCCACCTTCCACATCTTGCAGATGTCTCACCACCATCGTTTTCCATCTTCTTCTCCATGAACCCTCAGTCAACCATTTCTCCGATGAAGTTGCAATTGATGACATTTGATGACATTTTCTCCCCCCTCTTCCTTGTGAGTCTTTATCGTCACCTCCAACCAAAGCCCAATCCTAATCCCCCATGATCTCTTTGCTCTCCATGTAACTTCCCCCATCCTCCACCACTAACCCTTTCTGGCCACATTAGGGCCTCAAGGATCCAAAAAATTTGTCAACTTTATTGGACTCATCCATTCAAACCAACACAAACATGAAGAAATATGCTTTAAGACCTAGATCCAGAAATGTTAGACAAAAAGGTAAGAGCTTGTTGACTTACAAAGGTTAAGAATATGCACAAGAAGGTAGTGAAGAGATTTGTTTGCTAAATCCTTGCACTTAGAGCACCCTTCTTTCTTCTTTAAAGCCAAAAAACACCACAATGAGCGTCAAGATGAACACAAGGATGCTAGGGTTGGTTTTTGGTCTTAGGGGAGTGATGGAGGCTGAGGGTGGACAAACCCTAACCATCACATATCTTTAATAGGGCTCTAGGCCCGAGAATTAGGGTTTTAAACTCCAGCCGCTACCACGTCGTGGCCATAGCCTTGCCACGTCGTGGTTAATTTAAAATGTGCGTTCCTTTTCTGCTGTGACCACGTCGTAGTGATCCTCCATCACCACGCCGTGGTCACCAAAAATCTCACATTCTGAGAGTCTAAAATGATATATTCTTAAAAGAAACATACCCAAAACGAGTGTTAGAACTATATTAGATCTTCTACCATACGCCAACCGGATGAGCTCCCCTTTTCGTCGGACCACCCAAAGCCCCCATCATGAAAGCCTAAATATCGCCAACATTACCACTACTAACCATCGTTATTGTCGATGATGGATAGTAGATCGACTCCCCTTAGATCGGATACTAGCGCTGATGATGGAGAGTAGATTGATTTGGCAGTGGTGATAATGGTATGAAGGAACCTTAGATTCATTGGTGGTTTTGTGGTTCTCAAGATCTGTATATGTAAATGGGGAAATGGGAAAGAAACAGTGTGTGTGGGGTATAGGTGGTGACGGAGAGAGAGAAGTAAGAGGGGGTGGTAGGAGCTAGACTCTGGTCTTATTTTCAACAAGGAGGGCGACAGTCTGATGGTGGCAGTGTCCAAAATATTAAATTAAAAAGAACAGGAGGAAGACAATGATGGTGGCGAAGAAGTCGACACATGTGGTGGAGGCAGTAGGTTGAAGGTTGACGATAGTGACATGATAATGGAGGCGGTGGGTCGTTACCGACGTTGGAGAGAGAGAGAGGGAGAGAGAGAGAGAGAGAGAGATAGATAGATAGATAGATATGTGTGTGTATATATATATATATATATATATATATATATATATATATATATATATAGAGAGAGAGAGAGAGAGAGACGAGTGATCTGAATGGCGGTGGGGTGGGGTGTTGACTTAAGAGGGGTGGTATGGGGTTTTTTTTGTTTTCTTAAATAAAATAATAAGGTATTAATTAAAACCACAAAAAATGATAACCGTAGGGATCAAAACCACACAAAGTATCTAAAATTGGCCCATTGTAGCATCACCAAACTTTTTTCGACTAAAACCACATAATTTTAACAACAATATGAACTTTTTTTGCAATTACTTTTATAAATTAAACTTTTTTACACATTCGTTTTTTCTGTGGTGTAAGACTTATTTTTATTTTTCTTATTTCTTTTACAAAAGGTAACCATGTTAAAAACATCTTATAAATTTAAACCTACAAACTTATGATGTGGTTTAGACTCATTATTATAAAGATAATTGTAAAGTTGTATTATATGTATGTTTGGTAAAACTAGCCGTTAATTAGGAGTTAAAATTTTTATGTGTAAAATAGTTTGGAAGAAATAGTTATAATCTTTTGAGAGGTGTAAAATAACATAAAATATAAAAACTAAAAGCTAAAAACTCTTTAAACTTTAAAAACTACTTTGTTTAAATTAAAAGCTTTAAGCTCGAACATCCGAAAGAAGTTTTTTCTTTAGCTCTAGTTACTTTCAAAAGATAAAAACTAAAAACTCCTAAAAAAATCGTTATATTTATCCGTGTAGGCCGAACCAAAAAAACTCAAAAGCTAATGGTCCACAATTTAAACTGAAACTTATTTGGTTGGTTATAATTAGTTTTAGAAATATTAAAAAACCGGTTAAATCAAAACCCAAATTAAAGCGAACCAAATATCACTTCTAAGGTGGGACGATATACATAGCCTGCACACATCAGGGTTGAAGACTTGAACTTAAACCGCACTTGCGAACACTTAGGTCTGACAATTCTCGACACGACCCGCGACACGACACGAAATAAACGAGTTCAGGTTGAGTTTTTCAACCCGCCAACCCGTCAACTCGTTTATTAAACAAACCATATATGGGTTTCTCAAAAAATATACGGGTTGACGCGCCAACCCGTTTATAATTTTAATAAAAAAATTATATATATTTTTTAAATATATTACGTATTATACACTATACAGTTTATACTTTATACTACAATATGATACTCGATACACTTGACCATTTGACCCGTGGGTAACCATTTGCTGATTTGCATTGCGACACGTTTGGCGTTTTCCCTAAATAACATCAGTATCTCACAAACAAAATCAAATAAGCCCTCTCCCGGTCTCCCCTATGTGATAAACGACAGAATGAACTTACGAAGAACGGCGACATGAATGATTGAATCATTATCGAACGGTGTCGAAGCATACGATTGAATTTATCTATGTTTGTATTAATGTTTTTGTTTGAACATGTTTCCATGAATGTGTAACATCCCAATCTTCAGGTATGAATTTAAAAGCTTTATATTTATATTTTCAGGGCAACTCCACGAGTTGGAAGGCTCCAAATCGTCGTGTAGAGTACATAATGCCCGCGTATCTTTCAATGTCTACTCGATGAGTTGGAAGGCCCCAACTCGACGAGTTGAAGGCTGAACATGAAAACCCTAATTTTTAGGGTTTGCACTCTATTTAAAGGCCTTAACTCTCATTGTTGGCCTCCTTCATCGCCTCCTTGTCCAGATAAAAACCCAAGTTCGTGCTTTTGCCCATATTGAGTGTGTGTGTGTGGGCTTAGAGAGTGATTTTTGGTGCTCTTTTGTAAGGAACAAGAAGCTTGAAGAAGTTGGCTGAAGGGAGAGGTTGTAGATCCGGTGTTTACTCTGTTGTGGAAACCATTTTGAGGTATAAAGTCGATACTTTGGCCTCTTATTGCTTAGATCTACTTCAATGAAAAGATATTGTTATTATTGGTCCATATTGGAGTCATTCTTGGAATGATGCATTGTGTCACGCCCGTAGATCTGGGCTAGTCATTTTAGAGATAATACATTTAGAATAAATAATCTTAACCTAGTTGTAGAATATGTCTCAAGGGTTCCGTACATATAAAGAACGCGGAAATCCGAGTTATAACGAAGAAGTTATGGCCCGTCGAAGTTTTACGGCAGAACCGACACGGCACCGGGAGACGTAAATAGTGAATATTTGATAAAGGACTTTTTAGCCTTAGTGATCTAAACAAAATTTGTAGTATACGTTAAACCGAGAACATACAAAAAAAGAACGCCCAAATCTGACTTCGTATGAGGAAGTTATGAATTTTCTAAGATTTGACATAGCAGTGCACGACCCGAAACTCGAATTTTAGTTCGAGCGGTTTTTGGCCTACGCGGCCTAAATGAGAATTGAATATCTCATTAATAGGAACTCAACGATAAAAAGACAGACGAAAACAGAGTCCGTATGTAGAAGTTATGAATTTTACGCGGACATTTAACAGTATAATCTCCTCGTACTGTTAAATTTAAGATCGGTCAAGAATTAGCCGACGGAGTCAAAATGAAAGTTGTAAATCTTATTTTTACCTACGCGTGGATATAAAGAACGTCAAAAACGGAGGTCGTATGTGAAAGTTACGGATTTTAGAAGTCGGAAGTGTGCTGTGCAAAAATGGGTGATGTGGCACAATCTTGGCCATTGCTTTCTCCCCAAGTCTTGCCACTAGATGGTGACATGTGGCACCAAGTTCAGCCATTTTCACCCTATAAATAGAACCTCTCCCACCCTCATTTTCTTCACACATTTCCCATTCTTTCTTCTTTTTACTCTCTCTCTAGAACCTCTTTCTAGCCCCGAAACCCCCCGAAAAGCCT